GGGTGTGCGCAGGACATCGCTCGGTCATCACGCCGCGATGTCCATTATGAGGCGACAGAGACTACCCATGAAGAAGGCACCGCATCGGGATGCAGGGTGAACCTGGATGGTGAGCTGTGAAGTTTAGAAGCTCGAGCAACAGGTATTTTCAGTTTTTGTTTTCAAATCTTTAGGATCTTGTAGTGTGCTTGAAAATTTCGGGTTTTCTTTGTTTGACTTTAAAAATTTTGCAACTTTCATTTGGGTGGATTATGCAATAAGAAAATCATAAAAAGCTTGTTTTTTAGCATGATTTCTCGTGTCAACTGACGGTTATTTAGTGCGGGTTTTCACAAAATCGAGAAGTCGATACCAGTGTTCGAAAAGTCGGCCTAGGCGGCTGCCTAGGCGCTAGGCGCCGGTACAACGCTTACGATTTGGCCAAATCGGCCATTAAAATCGATCGGGCAGGCTCGGCGGCGCCTAGTCGGGCCTAGGCGGAGCTAGGCGGCCTCGGCGGCTTCGCGGTTTCGGCGGGACTAGGCGGCTGAGGCGTGTTCTAGGCGGTTTTTACAATTTTTTTTTTACTAAATGCATTTAATTTAAATAATAAATCTTATAATTTATTATTTTATAATTTTTTGTATTTATCTTATGTTGTGTAATATTTAAAACATAACATGTAGATAATGTGTTTGATAAAATTACAATGAGAAGAAGTTATATTGTAGTTATGAACTTATTTTGACTTAGAGTTTTTTTTGTAATATAATACTACCTCATATTCTTTTTAAATGTCATTTTGGCATTACCAACTATTAACAAAATAAATGTCGTTTTGAATATTTTGTACATATTTTTTCATTATTACCCTCAACTAGCTAATAAATACACTACGTCTTTTCATATTCACTCTTTATCTTTTCTCAAAACATTCATATCTCTCTTCATTAATGTAGGTTATTATTGGTAGAAAAAATATTTTTAATAACTGTGCAACTTCTCTAAACGACACTTATTATGAATAGGAGGAAGTATTAATAATATTATTGGGACTTAGGTGTATGGATTTATTCATTATAAATTATAATTTCATTAGTGAAATTGTAAAAATAAATAAAAATAATATATTTATTATAATTTCTAGGCGCCGCCTATACCCCGACTAGGCGCTCTAGGCGCTGGTGGGCGCCTAGCGACTTCTAGAACACTGGTCGATACACGATCTCCATCACATGCATAAGACTTATGAGGATTTAGCTTTTCATTTTATGCATATGGCGTGTTTTATGAAAATGGATGTATCACCAGTGGCGAATCTACATGCATTAGTAGGGGTCAGCTGATCTCTATAGATTTCAAAATTTTTAGTATAAAATACTGTTCAAACACTGTTTACTAGGTTAATGACCCCACTAAATAATATTGCTGACCCCGATGAATGATGAGGCTGGCTCCGCCCCTGTGCACCAAGTTCCTGTAGTTCTATCATGAGTAAGATAAGTAAGGATGTAATATTGTTTTATACATAGCACGATATTTTTCGGAAATGTAGGTATCACCAAGTTCTTATTTGGTTTAGTAGTATATATTTAGAAGTAACAATAACATATACATATTCGGATGAGTTTCATTATAAAACCAAAAATCCCACCTTGAATTTGATTTTATAAATTAAATATTTTATATTATAGTGGTAACTTATTTAATTACATAAATTATTTTTAATTAATAAAATAAAATATATTAGACTAATATAATAACTCTTATGTGATGAATGTCGTAATATTTACGTATATAAACAAAATTGTATCGGTTGTTAATATAAGTCGCTTTGGCCGAGTGGTTAAGGCGTGTGCCTGCTAAGTACATGGGGTTTCCCCGCGAGAGTTCGAATCTCTCAGGCGACGATTCTTTTTTCCTTACTAAGGGCATGATTTTTGAGATAAAATTAAAATTTCTGATTTATTTTACCGGATTTTTTTTTTTTTTTTTTTTTTTTTTTTTTTTTTTTTTTTTTTGTGTGTGGATCTCTGAGGCCACGATTCTGTTTTTCCTAAAGGGCATAATTTTTGAGATCAAATTAAATTTTCTTGTTTATTTGATTGGATTTTTTTAACTCAAATTTGCTCGAATTCAATTTATCCTAATATCATCAATGTGCAGTACCCGTGCAATGCACATGCTAATTTTACTAAGGTGATCATTTATATTTTTATTTGGGGTAAAATATACAGTACCCCCTGTATTATACGAAATCTGCGCGTTTTCCCCCTGTATTTTAAAAATTGCATGAAACCCCCTTGTATTGTACTTCTGCATGCGCGCATTACCCGAAATCGTTTAAGTTGACAGAAGTGAGGCTCACGCGCGTGCGCTGCGACTTTTCTTCCAATTTCACCTCATAAACCATTGAAAAGACCATTTTACCTCTCAACACTCTTTTAAATAGTCAGCAACCCTTCACTTCACCTCATTTTTGGCGCAAATTTTGTCCTCAACAGCTCCAGTTTGGCGCCAATCAGGTACATTTTTTTTTTTTTTTTTT